ACTATTCAAGAACCATCAAGTGAACAGTGAATAATTTTAAAAAAGAGACGGAACAGTAGAGATAAAAACTGGATCAGGAGGCCACAACAGGAAGCGGAAGGGACCATCATTTCAACTTAGAGCCAAGGAGATCAATTAGAAAAAGAAACCAACTCAGTCCATAAGTGGCTTGCCACGTATGAGAAGATTTTCACCTATGACAGTGCAAAAAGTAGTAAAAAAAAACCCCAATAATCAAATGAAATCCTACGTGAAACATGTGAGGCAACTTGTTAGTCTCGGACAGAATGTTAGAAGATTAAACAGGGCGAAAATCATCTTGAATAAGTTGGAAAATTAGCTTGGAATAATATATATATATATATATATATATATATATATATATATGATCGACTTCATCGCGTTTCTTGTGTTAAAGTTAGAGAGAAATTATACATTATTATTGCTCAAGGTCGACACCATTAGTGTTATAAAAACATCAGAGAAGTCCAGTAAGATTTCGCACTTATAAACTGATCCATGTGCGACTTTTGGTTAATAAGTGCGACATTATTAACCAAAAGTCGCACATGGATCAGTTTATAAGTGCGACATTACTGTAATTATTGAACAATATAGTTCATGCCACTTTGACAGTAAAATTTACCAGTAAAATAATTTGTTCATTACCATATTTGGTATAAACGCAAACACTTTAAAAAAATTTTTCAAACTCAGTGTTGCTTTGGCGCGTTCAAAAACCAATATCTCATTTTCAATAGCATTTCGGATACAATACACATATATTTTCGATGTCCTCTTATTACTAAGAGAAAAAAACAAGAACAACATCTATTATATACCTGAAGATGTCTGTAGGAACAGACGAAAGTTTGTAGTAAAAATAACAACTAATACGGCAGAAATTTATATGAACAAGGATCAATTCATTCATAACGGATCTGGAGGTTTTTGTGTACTATTTGAATTGTTTGCGAGATGGATGTCTCGCCATTTAAATCATTAACCTTTGCATTAGTTTTGTGTGAATAATTCATGTATATATATATATATATATATATATATATATAGATCAATTTCCAAGATGATAGAATTCAAGTAGAGCTCAATGTCCAGAACAGAGTATGAATATAATATAAAAGGTTCAATCACAAATATTCCATGGTTATAATTTATTACATTGGAATCGTAATCACGATCCAAATCATCAGACCTTTTTGAATTTGTAGGTCTGATGATTTGGATCGTGATTATGCAATAAATTATAACCTTGGAATATTAGTGTTTGAAACCTTATATATATATATATATATATATATATATATATATATATATATATATATATATTCATTATACCTATATATATAAATACCTCTAACATGATTCTTCAAAGTATTAGAAGGTCAAATCAGCAGCGAATTGGCTAAGCATTTTAATTTCCCCGAACTGTTTTCGTATAAGTAACATGGCTGACGTTTCCCCAAGTCTACTGCGTATGTTTTATCAAGTAACGATGAATTCAAGTTTTAGATAATAACAGCGAAGTTCGTGGTGTGGATCTAGATATCTCAAAGGCATTAGACAGGGTTTGACATGCTCGTCTTCTCCACAAGCTTAAGGGCTATAGTATCTCTGTACGAATATTTCCCCTAAAACAATCGTGTAGTGAAGGTTGAATGGAGACGCTTCTTATTGATTTCCTATTCTTCGTTGCCACAGAGCTTTACCTTCAGACATAAGCTGTTTCTGATTTGCATCAGCGACATTTCCGATGTTATCAGTTACCAACTAGGTATCTGTTATGGTCCAGCTTAGGACCAAGGAAAAACAACACGAACACAAGAGTAGAAATAACGAAGGTATATTACACGATATAATAATACAAGATGTGGAATGTGTTAGTATGACTGTCAGTCTGGTTTGGAGTTAACTACTATCGGCTCGACTCGATTCGATATCTAGCCACCCCCACGAGGGTTGCATGTGGCACAAGGCCGAGTTTAACGTGGGTTTCCCGAGCCCGTAGGCCCGGCCAAAAAATGCCCGTAGAACCCGTATAAACGGGATCGGGTTGGTCAACGTCCCCGAACGTGACTCTGCCCTTAGGCGGAGCCTCGTCTGGGTTCCTCTCTGCTCAGATGCAGAGAATTCGACCATCAAGCCGAGCTTCTCGGATTGATTCGGTATCTAGCCACCCCCCACGAGGGTTGCATGTGGCACAAGGCCGAGTTTATCGTGGGTTTCCGAGCCCGTAGGCTCAGCCAAAAAATGCCCGTATAACCCGTATAAACGAGATCGGGTTGGTCATTTCTCCCCGAACGAGACTCTGCCCTTCGGCGGAACCTCGTCCGGGTTCCTTTCTGCAGAGAGTTCGACCGTCAAGTCGAGAAGCTCGGCTTGATTCGACCCTCTCTCTTGAGAGGCGTAGTATACATAGTGTTAGGAAGAATTCATTCTGTAGTTATAGGTAAGGACCCATGACAGTATCTATTCTTAATAGACAGACAGATCCCAACAACGTAGGGCTGGCAACTGCTTTCATAAAGTACATCCAATTAGAAGTTAAATGCGGGAAGAAATGTCTTGTTGAAAGCAGAGTTTGTCTTGGTAGCATTAAGCCA